CTCAAAAGCAAGCTGCTAACCAGTGCAGTTAAATAAGAAGTAATTACTAGTAATATAATGCATTCTGTGAAGGTGGAGGCCATTCAAGTAGCTAACAAATGCACCAACCTCCTAGCTACAGCTGACACAATCACCTAAGACTGATTGATGTGTTTGCAGCATTACATTTCAGTGCAGGTGAACACGGTTCATTGACTGCGCTACGCAGTCTCAACTATTCTCTAATGGCTCAGAGTCTGAGAGGGTCAAGCTGCTGAATCTATATGATTCACCAATGGAGAGGCACACTGATCACATGGCTTTATGTCTTTGAGAGTTTGTAAAGAACTGTAATTTTCAGTTATCAGTGGGTTGAATATCTAACTGGAAAGTAGGACTGAATGCCTAATGTCTATGGTTTGTATACTGTACAGCACAGTATTTAAAGAATTATGTTGTAGTTCATGCCCTTAGGTAGCTTTAATGCGATGGAATGGCAAATATACCAAATAGCAGGAACTGGAAGTTGGATTCTTTATTTTAAATACAGGCAGACTCGTTGCAGGCTGGCTAATGCTACAATCACACTGGGGAAAACAGTGGCTGGAGGGAACACACAACTAAACTCGTGACCTTGTTGTTTTTGAAATGGTGAAAACAAAACGAACCAGCGTTAAGACAAAGTCACCCTGCTATCAGTTCATGATTGAATGGTTTTAAGTTGCAAATTAAACAGTTAACCGAGATAAATCGTCAACAGTGGAATCTCCTTCTGATTGAGGGAGTCGGCTAGTTATCCTCTGGGCATCCAGCGCGTCGTTGTAACTGCTTGTAAATTGTCACTGAACGTAGAAATATTAAATACCACACAACTACTGATTTTTCCCAGTCACTGTCCTCGTTTTTACTTGAGTGTGACTGGGCCATATACAAATTTCTAACATGTCTAATTGCTATGATAAGAGGTAATACTCCAAAAAGGAGTTATTAGATGCCTCAAGAAAAGTCTGACTTTAGTAAAAGCTTTAGAAAATTTAAGGTTTTCTAAATTGTGAAAGGCATTTGCAACAACTACACACATCGTTAAAGACATTTAATGTCATCATACCAAACACAGAAGTGATGATGTTATTGTCGTGATATAGGTTGTTTATATCGTAATATTTGTGTTTTAACTTTAGCATAGAGAGACAGCATTGAGGAGGTTTTGAACCTTTAAGTCTGGGAACTCACTGGCTGTTGTCTGTTGAATTAGTGTGCCAGTGTTTTAGGGCTTAGAGTATTACCGCCATATATCAGGACAAAGATTTCCTTTTACACGTGCTAGTCAATGTTCAACATGCAACCAAACCTGCTTAAACATGACTGGGCAGTAACAGGCACAGGAAAGGAAGGTAAAAACCTTGCCCTGCCTACAGATTCAGTTCACTTACAATGAAAATTAAAAAGAAAATCTTGTTTATGACCTGTGTTGTATGTTAACACTATTGGAAGAAAAAATAACTT